AGGAATGCCAGTTGTAATTCCATTAAGGGAATACCCAATGACAGGCTTTTAAAGTTAGAGTCTTTAAGTCAGATTCTTCCCCAAAGACTTAATTGAGATGTATTGTTCATGATAAAATTTAAAGATTTGCTCTATATTATGTGTGTCATACAGCAAATATTTTCTGTATATACATATTGTGCATGCAATGTATATACATTTGTTCTGGGAAAGGGATTCTTAATGGCTTAATTACAGGATCACCCTGTAGATGTAGATCTAGAAACCACTATCCCCCCCCCCCCCCCCCCCATTGGAAAAAAACATCCATTGCAGGTTTGGGCAAAACAGCTTCTGCTTCATATCTGTAATCAGCAGCATCACACTTTCCATGCAGGGAAAGAATTTATATAAAGGAACAGCTTGATATAAGCTTTAAAATGTAACAAATCAACCATCATGAGTCCTTGAGTGACACTGCTTATATTTTTTTCTGTCGAGTCTTGCCTTCTTCAAAGTTGGAAAGTTACTGAAAATTAATACCCTCTGTGTGAGAAATGAATGAGAAATGTATTGTATGGGAGCACCTCTGCTTTCAGGTTAAAAAGAAATATCAGTGGCATCCGAGGAACAGCAAAGAATTTAACTAAGATAAAGGAAAAGTGACTTTTATCTCATTCTAGCAAATGTTGCTGTAGACAGGAGAGGTCAGGAGCTGCATTTACACATTTAACTCACATCATAACTCATTTTGTTAACTAGAGGAAACTATTTTGCTGCCTTAAAGTATACAATGCCATTATAACTAAAGGAGAGCAGTTATGAAGTGAAACATACCAACATGTTTTATAAATGTACTTACTCTCTTTCAGTTTGGCCTAATTGCTCCTCTTCCATCAAACAATGTCTATAAGAAGAAAACTACGTGTGGAAGCTCTGTGAAGTTTATCCACTGAAGAGTCTCTTCTTAGACTAATGTGTTTGAGATTGCACAGAGTGGGCCGGACACTGGATTACCATCTTTTCAGAGCCTGAAATTCTAGGGGAAAATGAAGCTTCAGACAACATTTACGTTAATTCCTAAGCCCACTAGCCTCCTGATAACATGACATTCTGAGAAGTCCAGCTGCTGCTGATACACCTGTGTCCTATATCCTCTCTGAATCATGATGAATGAAAATGAATGCTGCTATAATCAACATCATTTTTGCCAGGTTTCTTGGAGAGATTTTCAATGGTTCCAGAAACAGGCAAACTAAGTAGATTGACTGCTATCTAGTTAAAGTTCTACCTGTAGCACAGCCTAGCATGGGAGGAAAAGATGGCATTTTAACTCCACTTCGCCACTTGCCTTCACCTGTCCAATACTACGGAGTCTTTCCACCTCTTTCCCCCTCATTTGGTCAAGCATCTGGCCCTTATTATCTTATTTTGGTTACAGCATGTAAAATTTCAAATGCTACTCTCACTGACACCAGTTTTAGAAAATCATGTGGGTTGCATGAGTGTGATATCAATTTTTAGTTCCGTGTTTTGAAATACATTCAGGCTGTGATACCTTTCTATAGAATCAAT